GGAAAGGAAAGGAAAGGAAAGGAAAGGAAAGGAAAGGAAAGGAAAGGAAAGGAAAGGAAAGGAAAGGAAAGGAAAGGAAAGGAGGAAGGAAGGAAGGAAGGAAGGAAGGAAGGAAGGAAGGAAGGAAGGAAGGAAGGAAGGAAGGAGAGAGAGAAAGAAAGAAAGAAAGAAAGAAAGAAAGAAAGAAAGAAAGAAAGAAAGAAAGAAAGAAAGAGAGAGAGAGAGAAAGAATCAAATGGCTCTTTAGGGACCCTGATAAATGATAAAAAGAAGTCCACGGCTGCAGCTCTGAAGTCTGGTCAGTGATGTAATTCCTGTCTACAAGGATGCTTTCTTGAGGAAACAGCATTTTCTGAAAATACTCTTTCTATGTCACATACAAATCCCTCTTCAACCCTTTGAGCAGGACATCTTAGACATTTCCAAACTGCTGCTGTTACCATATCAACAAGAATGCCTTCTTAGTCCACCACCAGTCATCCATGCACCAGAGAACAGGGGAGGACAGCCGGCACTCTCATTTTTCTATGATCGCTGTGCTCCCCAACTCACCCAAACACATACACACACACACGTAATTAACACTGTTCCACATTAATTTTAAATGTCCTAATGAAATGTTATGGACTTCTGGAAGGCTTGAGGCATGAAGGAGTACAAAGACATGTTATCGGGCAGACAGCTTGGCTAGGTTCGGAGCTTCACCAGGACCCTGAACGTAGGCGGGATTTTGTGAGTGAAGGGGGCATTTCTCTTCACTCACAGAGCATCTCTCTTCTGCTTTTTCTTGGCAGGGTGACACTGGTCTTCCAGGATTTCCGGGGTCTGTTGGCCCTAAAGGACACAAGGGAGAACCTGTGAGTATTCTAGCTTTGAGGGAAGAAAAAGAAAGAAAAAAAGATTAAGGATTAAAAATATTTCCCCTAACCAGCCCCAAATTCATGGTCCTTTAATTCTAATATCCGAACAGAATTGTACATCAGATGCTTTAAGCCAAGCCTTAAATCACTTAATGCATATAAAAATTCCTATGAATTAACCCGTTCTTTCCATAGGTTAGGCTGGTTCCAGATCCCAGGCTTGAAATTGTTAAGTTGCCTGGATATGACTAAACACTGTATCAAAAATGAAAACAAAACAAAAACACACAATCAATATATCAAGACTGGTACAAATTTATCTTTAAAATTGAAAATGCTTCTCTCTCTGCTCAAACAATTGCTCTCAGTACACCTCTGAAATTATTTTCCTTTCTGTTTTTTTGGTTTTTTTTTTTTTGTTTTTTTGTTTTTTGTGAGATCAGAGTGACTTTCGCAAGCTACCTTCCAATATTGCTGTGGCTGGTTTCTTTGAAAACTTTTCTTTGGGTGGAGAAAAGAAAGAAAGAAAAGAAAAACACTATCGCATCATTTCTGTTCAAATAGGGCCACTGAGATTACAAAAACCTAGTTACAAAAAGAGACCTTTAAAATTGTGTGTGTGTGTGTGTGTGTGTGCATGTTCCTGCTCTTGAACCTGGAGCTCAACAATTTGGCAAGCTTAGCTATCCCACAACCTCCAGGAATCCTGCCATCTCTGCCTCTCAGCCTTGGGATGACAAGCATGTATTGCCATTGCCCTGATTTGACCATGAGTTCTGTGAATCAAATTCAGGTCTTCATTCTTGTGCAAAAATCAGGACCAGCATATATCTCATTTTTCTTAATAAGTGCAGCACACCTTTTTAAATCCTGTTCACCCAAGTTCCAGAGTGAATTAAGGATATAGGTTTATTGGGGATGAGGAATGAAGAGGTTGGTAAAACCTCATGGCACACAAAAACAATAGGAACAGCATTCAGGGCTACCCAGCCACACTTTATCTCTGCTTCAGTTTCACTTAGACATCTTCAGTAGTACTAGCAATTGTCTCTGGAAGCTTTAAAATCACCACTGTGCCTATGCGCCCTGGTTATTGACCTTCTGGTCACTTCTCAGTGTCCTGTGCAGGCCTTCCTAACAGTCTTTAGCTGTGTCCTCCAGCTGAGGATTTCAAAGGGCCTGGGAACTATTACATGACTTTCCTCACTGCTCACCCGCTCCTTTGTGTCACTCCTTTGGCTCTCCACTCTGTCCCTGCCCAATAATACTCACTTCAACTTTAAGTTTCTGGGTGGACCACGGAGGATGTGGCAGGTAAGACACAAAGCACAAAAGAACTTTCTGTCGACATCAGCTGTGCTCTTTAAAGTGGGTGTGGACTCAAGCCTGAGAATTCTTACTCCAGACATCCAGGTGGAGCCTGGAAGCCTGTGACACTAATGCCATTGCTCCAGCATCGTTGAGGAGGGTTGGAATAATGCAATCTTCCTGGAGGTGATAGGCCTTTCTCTTCTTAAGAGATCCCCTCTGGCTTTGCCCCCTGCCTTCTATGTTCATGGGCAGCCAATCTTAGCCCTGGATTTTTTATTCAGTACACAGAAACTTCTTGGGTTGGAGACATGACTCAGTGGTTCAAAGCATGGGCTGCTGTTCTTTCAAAGGACCTGGCTTCAATTCCCAGCACCCATATAGTGGCTTACAGCTGTAACTCCGGCTCCTGATTCCTCTATTCATTTTTGCTTGCCTTCTTCCCTTCCCACAAATTTTACATTATCAGGCAGAACAATTAGTTCTTTGTTGTTTTTTTTTTTTCAATACTTTGATTCAAGAATCAGTAACAATACTTTGTATAATATCCAGGCATCACATAGGAAGAGTAGTCACCATCCAGAATAAATTTTGAACTTCTGTCTTGAACAGCAACATCAAAATACCCACCTGCTCCCACTATTGGGCATTTAGAATGTGCAGCACATGATGCCATATGCAAACACATCAGAGCTATAAAATATGCGTACAAAGGGGTCTAGCTGGAATCCACAATTTTATCAATAAGAAAGAGGAGAGGGCTCTAAATCATCAAATGGCTACCCCAGGTAGTATTCAGGAGAGATGAGACTACAGAGGAAGCCCGAGCTTACACAGAGTCCTCCAACTGTACCAGTCAATGTAGATTTTGAGCCAGGCTTTGGAGTGTTGACCTTTACCCCAGCTATTCAGGAGGCTGAGGCAGAAGAATCACAAGTTCAGTGCTATCCTGAGATACAGAGTGAGTTCAAGTACAAACTGGGCAACTTAATTAAATTTTATCTCAATACTAAAAAATAAAACAAGAGGCCCGAGAATACAGCTCCATGGTAAAACAATGGTGTGGATTAATCCCCAGGGAGTGGGTGACTGAATGTAGATTTCTTGGCTCTGACAAGATCGTTATGACGTAAGCAGGAGGAAGCAGAGGCGAAAGCAATGCAGCCCATCCCACATGCCTCCAACCTTAATAGTTACACTCATAATTTTAGAATGAAGATCTAAAAGGCAAGAAGATCTAAAAAACCCTGATCTAACACGTAAAAATTAACTCATAATAAAAGATGAAATCACGTTAGGCAGATAAGGATTTGTTTGGTCCTACCAAGTAACAGATAGGTGCCTTAGCCCAAGGAAAGTTAGCCTCCATTTGCACTATGGGGCAGTTTGGTTCACTTGAAAGAGATGGGTGTGTGTGCCCCTCCAAACTCAGTCACCAAGCCTATTAGAATCCTGTAGCCTCATCCTTGGGTCCAAGTAACTTTCTCAGTCACCATGAAGAGGAAATAAGACTGAAAAATCTCACTACCTCTTGCTTGAAGGCAGCTCATGCCATTGCCAGAATTAGATCCACTTCCAATAAAATTACTAAGGAGCTAGGAAATGTAGGAAAAGGTGACCCAGAGGCCATCACGTCTGACACACAGGACATTAAAAAATCAAAGACGGGCATTCAGTAATCACTTGTTCCTCAGGAGTGAGATATTCAAGAGAATAGCAGTCCCAAAATAAGCTCCCACCATGATGGCTCTTATATTTTTCTTGATTTTTCATATGTGAAAGAACTTTTTAAAGTTTATAGTTTTTGTCTTATTGTATATTTACTCAATTCACATAATAAATATGTATGATTTTAATATCGAAGCAGACATACAGGCAAGACTGACCTTAAAAATCAGTCTGCCCAGGTTTTGTAATCTTGAAGAAATTGTTTTACTTTTCTGTGTCTCAGTGTGTAGAACCAGCTAGTGGACATTATCCTTCAAACTGTCTTTCTGGGAGACCTTCATCCCTAACCCCAAGAGCAACTGCCATCAGCTTCACCTACTTGTACTGTGTTGACCCAGTAATTAACCCCTTCACGTCATTTTGATCAGAGTTCAGCTGATACTTTAAAGAGCATTCTTGAAATAATGCTTTTGTGTGTTATTTTCAGTTATCCTAGGTGGAAATTCAAGTTTATACCTGCCTTTTAACAGTTACCCACATCCACTTCCCTGCTCTTGCAGATGAATGTTTGTGTATTCATCTTCGTTTCACAATAAGAAGCTTTAGCCTTGGGCGGCGTTTCAATCTGACTGCTGTTGGGAGCCCCTAAATAGTGTTAAAATGATTAACTCCATGCTCATTTGGGAATATGAAGGAATCTGTAAATTAATTCTCACATGCCCCTGGTAGAGTTGATTTCTGAGTGTTTATAATTGATTCTGGTTTCTACCCATTTTTTCTAGGGGGAGCCTTTAACGAAAGGTGAAAAGGGTGATAGAGTAAGTGGGTGTTTATCACCATCTTGGGTTTTCTATTTTGTTGATTTCACTCTCTTGTTGTTTGGCAACTGATAGATTTATAAGTTTCCTGAAAATCTGTACTTGTTTTTAAGCCTTGGTAAGTGCTATGGGGTGATAACACTTTAACATCTGATTTGGGTTTTACGGGCTTTATTTATATTTTTGTTTTATGTTTATTTTGGGGTGGATGGTATGGGTGGGCATTAAGTGCATGGCCTTGGTATGTGTATCATGGTCCCAGGACAACTTGTGAGAGCCGGCTCTCTTCTGACCCCATCTGGATTCAGGAATGAACCATATGGTAATTGTTTTATTTACAGGGAGAGCCAGGCCTATTAGGACCACAGGGAATAAAGGTAATCTGACATTTTTTTCAGTCACAGTTGCAGCCTTATTGAGATGATAAAAATAATGGTAACATTTAACTTTCCTTTCCACTCATGCATTTAGGGGGAACCTGGAGATCCTGGTGCCCCTGGTCTAATAGGAAGCCCAGGGCTGAAGGTACGTACTTCATATATAAAGGTGTGTCAGAAATCACTCTTTGCCGATAATTCGGGAATTACAACCATCCTGTATTCAAAAAGGCTTTGGTATGCCACTCATTTTCATCACAGATATTCTTAGAGATTGTATCTTGTTTCCATGGTGATGCACCCCGCCCCCACCCCCAGCTACATTTACTACAAACATAGAAGCTAGGCCTTTTGGTATACAATAGAATTTTGAAATTCTTTTTCAGAGGAAAGTCACAATCCATGAAAGCATTGAGTAAACAATGTCAGTGAAATCTATGATCCTGCGCCACATTCCCGACAGGAAGAGGGTTCAGGATCCATTTCTTCACCAAAATTATGCATCCCTGAGATGCTTGAGTTTCCCAGGGGAGATTCTACAGGAGTGTCTCTAGAAAAAGCAGTTGAGGGAGGTGTGGGAGAGACTCAGGTGGATTGTTCCCAGTCGTGGAATCAGGCCAGGCACCCCCTTATCTCCTGCTGATAAAACAGACCCGTTAATGAAATATCTCAGAACTATACTGCTAAGATCCGAGCACATGCCAGTATTACACTCAGAAGGTGGGATGCTGAAAAGTCCAATTCTCTTCCCTATAAAGGTCACATTGTCCCTCACCACCATTCAGATACAACCTAGCTTATGAAAATTTAAAGTGTGTATCTTCTTCTCTTTTAGGGCGAGCAAGGACCTGCCGGTTTCATGGGGCCCAGAGGACCACCAGGAGATGTTGTATGTCTATATCTTCAATATTTTAAAATAAAATTGAAACTAAGATATGCCTTAAAGAATATCAGTTCTTGAGCTGAATTATGCTACATTTCCCAAAAGCACAGGTCACCCCAACTACCTGAATGGATCATGTGTAATGTCAGGGGCTTTTGGGAAGTCCTTTGCAGTGGATCCAAATACGCCAGTCTTTGAAATTCAAGTTTAGCTCAACCACTAGTAGTCAGTACTGCTGTAGAATGGAGGAAACCGGAAATAGCCAAAGAAATGAAAGAAAACCGAGAAAGACAGCAAGCATTTCTAAATTGCATAGATTTGAGTTCAAATGTTCATTTTCATGTTATATGATAAACTCACTGTAGTTTTCTCTCTGTCTCTCAAACACACATGTATACACACACATACCCTCATGCTGTGTGAATGCATTTTTCTTCTATTTCTTCATATTTCTACCCTGTGGACAATCTCCTAGCATCCCCATGGGAACTGAGAGCTAATTATCAACAAAGTGGCCCAAGATCTTGGCTATGACTCTCGGTGATCTCCACCCACGACTAGGATGCTAGCTGGGAAGACTTGAGGTCTCTCCTCTTTCCACCATGTTGGGAGCAGCCCTATGACCTTTTTTCCCTGCTCTCATGCTCACTGCCTGAGCCTCCTGGAAGCTCCTGGTTAACCCTCATCGTGTGCTTGCTAATTTGAACATCTACTCCATGGGGAAAGATTTTTTTTTCTCCTGCAAGTCAATTACTGGATCACTTCAGGGATACCTCTTGGAAAGACACCATAAAAAAGAGAGAATGTTGCTAATACAAGATGAAACATGAACTAGACTGCTTAGACAGAACTGTCAGTACCTAGGAAATAAAAGAGAACAAAATCAAAATAAAAGAGCCACTGTGGCAAAACATAATAAAAATATCTTGACATTTTTAGTTCTGCTGTAATGTTACCATCCTACCCTCTTTTTAGAAATAGTTTTGGGTAGAACATTTCATTTCCCCTTTTCTGTTTCCCATTATAGCTGTTGACTTCACTTGAGACAATGAGTCACACATATCTTCAAATAACATTTCCTCTAAGGTCCAAATCAACATTACCTTACAGTTAGATGCTAAAATCCAGCTCTCTTACAAAGGCAGAAGGCTATTCCACTAAGAGATGTACTAACTGCTATTTTTCTTTAAATTTTGTATATTCTAGGGCTTGCCAGGAGAACATGGTATACCAGGAAAACAAGGCATTAAAGGAGAAAAGGTACAGTTTAGATTTTATTTTTGTATATTAAGTAAGTAAAAGAAAGAAGAAACCAAGGATCCTCTGGTTATTGAAGAAGCAAAAGATGACTGAAAGGCTTGAGCCTCCCAAGGTCTGTCAGTGAAGAGGACAGATTTTCATAGAAACTATGATATGGTCCACTCACTAACATGCGTCACTGCAGACATGGTTAGGGCACAGAAACTCCAGATGACAGAATGAGCTAAGTTAGAAGTGAAGATTGTTGGGGCTGAGGTAAAGTTACAGATTCCCAGAAGTCTCTTAGTCTTTTGCAACCTGTTTCTGGATCTGTCATATGCATGTCAATATTCCATCATCCTCAGGATATAATGAGGCATTTAGATCGCCTAAAGAACTTCATTTCATGAAGAGACATGGCCTTTGTGTCTGCCTTTATGCATAAGTCGTTTCCTGGTCCTGCCGAACTTTAAGTAAAAAGCTCATTTCCTGAGTGTGTTTACGATAACAAGGACTGCACTCAGAGTGAGCTAGGCACGTGGTAGATGCGTCTGAGGGGCTGGGTACAGAAGTGAACATAAGGATGAGGTTTGACTGTCTCTGACAACATAAGGCAATAGAAACTATTGTCTCCCAGCTTTCTCTCACGAACTTCAGCAGAAAAAGAAAGAACCTCATCTTGTTTTCTGCAGGGAGATCCAGGTGGAAGGCTAGGTCCTCCTGGACTTCCAGGTCCAAAGGGCGATACTGGGCCTCCAGGGAAAAGTCTGCAAGGAAAACCAGTAAGTACTGCCCGTTCACTGGGATTGCAAGCTCGTTCGCTGCTAATTCTGGGCCCCCAGCTTCAAGACACAAGTGTGATTTTAATCCCACAAAAGAAAAGAAAGAAAATAAAAAATATTCATCTTATACCCTCGCTCATAAAACTAAAGCAATTTGAATGTTTGGTGCAAGCCAAGAGGTCTCTGGGGCAGGAATTTTGCAAACACGAAGTATTTTATACATGATCGGAGATGTTTCAAAAGCTTCAGAACTCTGTGTGCTAATCCTGAAAGATCTATGGGTCCTCACACACTGGTTGTAAGCCATAGGCCTTCTTAGAATACTTCCTTAAAATAAATGAGCCACAATTTCCTTCCAGAGGGAAGATATAACCACAGACTACCATTCATAGAAAGACCTCCATTCATAGAAAGTATGTGATCTGTGCTGTACTCGGGACATAGGAAACTGTAGCACCAAAAAACCCAAAAGCCAATATACTCATTTGATTTACTCATTTTCCCAAACATCTTTCTACCTTTACATCAATTATTAATGTTGATAATTCTGGTGATGAGATAGTTAATTTAACAAATAATATCTCTTATAGTTTGAGCTGATTACGTAAAATCTAAACCTTCTAAAATTTTCCCTCTACTCTAAATAAGAGGCTTACTCAAATAAAATGAAGTATAATAAATCATGGTTTTGAATTATTACTTCTTTTTTAAATTATTTTTAAAAATATATGTAACCATTTTTTTTTCCTTTTAGGGTTTAGATGGAAATCCAGGAGCACCTGGTCCACGTGGGCCAAAGGTATATAAATTTCATAGATAATTTTAAGAGAATCAATAGTTAAGAAGGTGTAACTGAAAATGCATCTATCTTGAGCCTTATATTAACAAGAGCGTTTGGTTTCACAGGGAGAAAGAGGGCTACCAGGTATCCACGGATCCCCAGGCGACACTGGCCCACCAGGGGTAGGAATCCCTGGCAGGACAGTAAGTAGTATTCAGTCAAGTTATTGAAACCTCACTGGTTGCATTATGTCTCCGGTCGTATTTAATGCAGTACCTAAAATCTTACATAAAGCTATTAGACAAGGTATACAAATAGGAAAAAGAAATCAAGTCACCCCTCTTTAGACATGACTTAATCCTATACTTAGAAGACCCTGAAGACACTTCCAGAAAACTCTTAGAGATGAAAAATATTTTCAGCAACATAGCAGAATACAAAATAAGCATTAAAAAGTAGTAGCCTCTATATATAGTATTAAGAAACTTGACAAGAAAGACAAAAATCTCACTCAATTAGACTTTGAATGGTGAAAGCTAAGCCTGACTAAAGAGGTCAGAAATACATTCAATGAAAACTTGAAGGTACTGAAGATGACACTAGGGAATGGAGACATCACTTATTCTCATAAACTGGCAGATTTAATGCAATGAGAATGTCTACATTTGAGAACGTCAAAAGCCACCCATAAGTTCAATGTAATCCCCACCCAAATTACAAAGATGCTTCACAGAACAGGACAAAGTAACACTAAAATGTTTATGGAAGCACAAAAGACTCCAAACAGCAAAAGCAATACTAAGCAGAAAGAGCAACTCTAGAAATATCATAACACCGGATCTCAACTTACACTACAGAGCCATAGTGACAAAGAAACATGAGCAGACACACCAGCAGACATGTAGAGCAAGGGAATAGAATAGCAGACCGGAAAAAAATTACCTGATTTCTGACAAAAGTATTAAAAATATTCACTGGACTAAAAGATGCCCCCTTTAATAAATGATGGTGGGAAAACCAGATCAACACACATAGGAGAAAGAAATTAAATCCATATCACATAGCCTGAAGAAATAAAATCATTCAAAATGAATCAAACACTTTAACATAAAATCAGAACTAGAGGAAACATTAGAAAAACTCCTCAAGATGCCAATATAGGGGAAAACTTTCCAAAGAGAATTACAGCACTATAGAAAATTTAAAAAACTGACAATTGGGAAAATATGAAACTAAAAAGCTCTGCACAGCAAAGGAAACAGCAAGCAGACTGTAGAGAAGGGCTATGGCATGGCAAAGATGGCATCTGTATGTTGGTCCCTAAAATCGGTAAAAAACAAAAAAAAACTACAAGAATTAAATGCCAAAATAAATAAATAAAACCTTCTAAGTCTTTCAATCAGCAATGGGCCAATGGACTAAATAGTTCTTAAAAGAAGAAATACAATAGCCAATAAGCAATTTTTAAAATGTATAAAATCCTTACCCATCAAGGAAATACAAGTTAAAGCTGCTTTCAAGAGGACTAGAGAGATGAATCATCAGTTAAGAGCTTCTACTGTGTGACTTCCAGAGGAAGTAGGTTTAGTTCTCAGCACCCATATCAGGCAACTCACAACACACACACACACACACACACACACACACACACACACACACACACACAC